GGATCCACGTAATACTACGTAATACATTATTTTATTTCTGTAAATATGGATAGTTCCTGATTTTCCTCTTTCTAAGCTGACACTTTGGGGATTGGTACATGGCATTTGGAAAAGAAGCTCTCCAAATCATCTGGTAATCCTGTATATTGCCGAAAATAAAAAAAAAACATTGTATTTATTAAATGGATCATTAAAATTATAATTCGTCTTTCTTGTAGAATGTTTTTTATATTTAACGGACAAATATATCGTATGTAAATAAAAAAGTTAAATGAATAAAGTTACCCAGATATGTCCAAAAATGTAGTCCCCCCCCCACACACACACACATACACACTTGCTTCAGGACGTGAACGCCTTTGGAGATGGCTGAAAGAAGGCAGGAACGCATTCAACCGATCGGCGCAGGTGATGAAGAAGGAAGAGGTCACAAGAGACAACAGCGAGAACGGAAGACGTTACAGGTGGAGGCGAGTTTAGGCAGAGGTACAGAGGTCGGAGGCGAGACTGGAGTGGTTGGGCAACAGAAAGGTCACGACGATGAAGTGATCAACACAGGTCGAACAAGTAAAAATTCCTCCGGAAAGGAAGAACTGCTGGGGCCGCAGAAGCGCAAGGAAGGCGCCGCAATGGCGACGGGGTTCGAAGAAGGGAGGCGCAGTGATTGATTTGGCGCAAGTGGCGAAAAGGAAGATGAAATGTTAGAGAGGTAGCAATTAGAACGGCAGAGGTAGCGGACGCTCTATCCCCACAGACTGATTTGGAGAAGTCAGCGGATTGGTCTGGAGGCATTGGGTAACAAAAAGATCGATGATGTTTGCGTCAAGATGGCGGGGGACACCTAGAGAGAAGAACATCGGCGGAGCGTGTGTGAATAGATAGGAGGAATATTGGTCTGCTGTGTGTGGAGAGGGATGGTGATGTGGCAGGGACGTCATTGATAGAGGGAACGGATTTGAAAGTAGCCAGCAGTGCAGTCAATGGAGCAGGTAGGAATGATGGAAGTGGCGGAAGTCAGAGAGACAGCGACGACAACGCAGAGGTAGCTGGGGCTATTGGCAGAGATGGAGAAAGCGGGGGGTGGGGGAGTTGGGAGGCGTTGGGCAACGGAAAGAACGTGCTGATGACGTGGTCAAAGTAGAAAAATACAGAAGGAACGAGCGCAATTTGGACGAAAGAATGAATTCTGAGATCGCAGAGAAGAAAGAATAGAGATGCGATCAGTGAGACGGCGCAAGTGGCGAAGAAGGAAGATGTGGAAATACCACACAGTAATAAGTAGGAGGAGGATTTTAATGAAATGTTGTTTTTTTTATTTTAGGACAATGCCCTTCAGTATAGATATTAATTTTATGTTATGACAAAAAGAAATGAACCATTTTTAAAAGTCTTTTTTGCATTTTTCGTCGATATCGACAAAAAAGTAATTTGTTACTTTTTTCGTCATTTTAATGCATTTTGATATCATCGATATCATCAATATTATTAATGGTACTTGCTTCAAACAATATTTACGAGGTGCAACAAATGTTCAACACAGAATTGTGAGTTGCCTATTCGATTTCTTTGTTCATATATTGTAATGTCAGTCATTGTGAGTACAATGTAATCTAAGGGGTCTGGGTCGCCTATCGGCGCCATTGTCAGTTCGGCCGTTTGCGCGATATAATAAAGACTGAGATTTTCTTTTAAAGAACAGGCCAAACCAAAAGGTTGCGAGGTAGATTCACTTGAACAAACGGAAGAAGCCTCAATTACATCAGTAAGTTATTCAACAGCTTTAGTTGTTCATGTGAAGTGGTTTTCATAACTTTTTTTGCGTCTTTGTTTTTAATTAATTTCTAAAGCATTTTAAAAGCATTTTATTGATTATTTTCGGAAATGTTTAAAGTCATTAAAATCCGCCCTCTAGTAATGCGAAAGACAGGTGAGAAAGGCGTAATCTATATCCCCAAAGGTGGAGAAGGCAGAGAGGTCGGAGACATTGGGCAGCAAAAAGGTGGATGTGATTGCAACACGATGGTCAGCGTGGAAGGGCGTTGGTGGAGCTTGTGCAAATGCGTTGCGGGAAGGCAGGGACGTCCTCGATTGTGGAGAGGGAGATGGGAGGAGCGCAGTTGACGGTGGCGAAGAGGGCTGTAGCCCCGCAGGTGGAGGCGGGTGTCGGGAGCGTTGTGCAAGAGGCAGGCCGCGGCGACGAAGGCGACGAAGGCGCTGGCGCGGGGTGATGGCGGCGGCTGCGCCGCTCCGCCTCTGTAATCAGCACCGCGCGCCTGCACCGCAACTTCCGACTTACGCGCAGGCGGCGGTCGCGGCGCCGCCACTCCACGCGGCCGCCCTGATTGAAAAACGAGCAACAAGCTCGATCGCGCAGCCGAAACTGGTTGCTTTTATAGAACTTGTTGGGTGTAGGTAAACAAAATGAAGTAATTAATATTGCCTGGGATTATCGTGCGCGAAGAGGAAGAGGGGAGTCGAGGAATGCGGCGGCACCGCTGGGGGATTACTCACACGGGAGATGAATGATGGGAAGGAGGATGGCGATTCGGTTTGGGAAGTCCATTCATGTGTTAATACCTCTCGGAATGACACACCTAATCGATTGTACGCTGTTGGGAATTAATGTTATCGGAAATGTTATGACCGCGCCTTTTTATGGGGTTGTCTTGTAGTAAATTGGTTGAGTTATGCAGACGTCTCGGCGGCGGCTGCCGCTGTGCCATAAGATTGTGGTCTTCCGAAATATAGGTATCGTCCATTTTACCTCGTGATGAACGTGAAAGGGAAAAGGCAAATTGCTTATTTGTTTTAAAATATTTTCTTCGCCGTCATTGATCGTTTCATTACTACTCAGATAAAATCAGCTGTCATTCTTTTATTCTTGGTTGCCAAAATTCCGACAGGAATATGACAATAGGAAGATGATATAATGAGGAGGATGATGATCGCGATAGGCAGCTAAACATTTCTGTTGTGTTAATACTTGAATTGGTGTTGTTGTCGATACCCTAAGAACATTAACAGAACATTCGTATCCTAAGTTGCAAGAGCTGAAAGGAAGCCAGGCCTATCACTCGTCTTTACATTGATCAAAATCTTCTCTTTGAAACATGTATTGGATGTTCCTTGGATATTTTCTTTGAATGATGTAAGAATTCCCAAGAATATTTAATGAATGTATCATTACTGAAATTCTACTTCGATGTGAAGCTCATTGCTAGTTTTGAACGTAGGAATAATAAAATTTCTATTACAATATACCTTACCACTATCTACAAATAAATATTTGGAGGTTAATGTCTAAACTTGATTTACCTTTCTATATTTTTTTTTTCATTGGTGTAAATGATGTGTATGAGACGTATTATTCCATAGATTAAACACCTTTTTTGTGTTATTCGAAATATTTTTGTGTTCTTAGTCTGACGCAGGGACTTCATAATTGATCTGTACTTGTGTTTCTACCCAAATTGACTTCTTTTCACTCACGATTTCAATATTTGTCTTTACATCAGAACATTGTCAAAACTAATAACATTTGATGAAAAACACTCTCAAATAACAGGCTCGTAAATTTACAATGCAAAGAAACACTAACTTTTCATCCAAGGAGTTCAGTAAAAATATTCGTTAAGAAATTCATTATTCGCCGAGATTAAACCAGCTTTTGTGACGCCCGTGCATGAATAAAGTATTGACGATGATAGCATCGAGATTTCGCACTTTTAATCACATTGAATCATCGACTGATTACTCATTAGCAACAAAAATGTGTCGCCTTCTCGAAGAAATTACGTAACAACTAAACTTTGCTTGCTAATAGATTTTTTGTTTGAGTATAAAATTAAGCAATTCAGGCGTACGACGGGTTACTGGGTCTTGGTTTTAGTGTTCTCTTATTTCAACCATCCAATCGGGAAAACGTAAAGGTTCATCCATCCACTCCGTCATCCAGCCATCCACGCATCCACCGGAACACCGACCGCTACGTTCGCCCACGCGCGATCAAATCTCCAGATGATGATTCTTGAACCCCTCAAACCCCTCCATTATTTACTTGGAGTAATATACTCGTATTACTCCTCCTGTAAGTGTCATCAAATTAAAAGAAAATTTTCCCGAAGATATTAAAAAAAAAACTTCCCTTAGTAATAGTTTTTTGTCATAATAAATACTAATTAAGAAATTCCGGCGTGCATCCAGATTTCCGGGGACTTGGCGCTGTCTTATTTCAACCATCCGTTTGGAAGAACACGACATCTCATTCGTCCAATCATCCATCGGCCGATACGTTCACCCACGCGCGATCAAATCTCCAGATAATTATTCCCCAATCCCTCAAGCTCGTCCACCGTCTTCTCGGAGTAGTATATTACACCTCGTGCGTGGAACGTCGGCGGAGCGGTGGCCCGCGGCTGGGCCGAGTCCATCTGCGTCGCCCCCCCCCCCTCCTCCTGCGCTGGCGTCCTCGCTCGCCCGCGTCCACTCTTCTTCCGCCGCCTCCGCCCCCCGGGGTCTGCTCCGCCCCCACGCCCGCCCCCCCGCCAGCGCTTGACCTCTCGGCGCGGGTCACGCTCATTATTTATGGCAATTAAGGCGCGGCGCTAGGCCGCCACGCAAAGACGATAGTCAAGCGCAGCCTTCAGCGGCCACTTCCTCCCCGCGGAGCCAGCCTGCAGACGCGCACGCCGCACGCCCCCCCCACCCCCCCCCCCCACACACACACACACCTGCTGGCGCCGGCGCCGCGCCCCGTCCTCCCGGCCTGCTTCCTTTAGCCGCTCTCACCATCCCACCGCCTTTTCATCGTCATCTTCATCACTTCTTCACTCCTTCTTCACAGTCAGCATTTTCATCATCATTCCTTATTTTATCGCCCAGCATCGCCACTGTCGTTACCGCCACCGGCGCGCGCTCATCGCGTCTTTATCGTCAACTTCTTCATCGTCTGCTTCATCATCGTCAATATCGTCACTAACATCGTTCCACCCTGCCTGCCGATGCCCCAACCATCACCATCGTCACCATTTACATCACTGCTGTCCATCGGTATCATCGTCACCCTTTCATCACTTCCTTCCGCTCTTCCTCTTTATTATTGACATTCACCCGTCCAGATTCGTCCGCCTTTACGCTTAGCAACGCCATGCTCATGATCGCCACCTCGTTGCATTCAGTCGTGTTCGCTCGCCTTCACCCTCGTCATTCCATCATAATTTGCGCCCACCATTCTTCGCAAATTATTCAAAGCCATTGTTTGCTCTGGCCATTGGCTCATCGAGTTCATCATTCTTAATCACCTATTTGCCCATTTTCACTCTTGCAGTCATCGTTCACACTGGCTCCGACTTTACCGCCACCAATCTCATCGAAAAATTCGTCGGCTCTGACACTACCAGTTCCAAGCGCGGCCCCACTTCAACCTTATCTCTTCAGGCCTTCGCTTCATCCAGCATGTATCCATCTGATGCCTGAGATTACAATGCCGTTGAACCGTTATTTTGTTCGTCGCCGTACACCCAGTTTCCACACCTCGCGTGTCGCACATCACTATTTCTGCCTTCCATCTCAAACTGCACCTTCATCACGTATCTCAACCCAAGAAACATGCCTATCTCCATGCTACTGCTGGATTTGCGATATTGCCATTACCCTCCCTATTGACGTGTTTCGACGACCCGGTGCTACTAACGAAACGACCTCTAACCAGAATGATCAGTGCCTGCCAACGCTCCTGCCGTTTCTATTATCACCACCCTCGGACCATGCTTGGTTGCTGTCTCCGTTCCAACCCATACTTCGCTCTACCACCCTCGCTGGCGTTGCTCCCCTATTTGCCCTCGCCACCGAAAATGGCCCATCTCAAACTTGGAAAGTATCATCAACAATAACCATCCCACAACTATCATCATTCCATTGCCACGGTCTTAAATACAGTCAAGTTCATCAGTCCCACCATCTCCAGCTCAATCCTGCCACATTTTTCAAAACCTCCTGTTCTTACGCCGTTCTCCATCAAACCCCTTCACCCTCCCATCAACTCTCCCTACCCCTCCCACTTCCACCCACATTGCCGTCCCACTCCCCTTTTGCCAGTTCTGCTGCCTCATCTACAAAAAACACGATCTTGGCTTTCCTTTCGTAAAGATATTTCTCGAGATCCGCTCTTTCACCAACATGTATAAAATCCTTCTGGGAATATGAACTAGGGCGTCCTCATCATTTGACTTTCGTTCCTTTCTGCGTCCAAGCGCACTGGCGGCCCGCTACGAGCGAGGCAGGCGGGAGCAGACAGTATTTAATTCAGCAAGCACGCAGGCGCCACCTTCAGGAAACTCGCTCCCATTAGATAAAAAGACGCCAGCAGAAGAGCGTTGCCCTCGCCTCCGCCCCCAATAAGTTGCCGTACATAACTATCGTTGTTTTTTGTTTGGTTTTTTTAAATCTTAGTATTGGGTGATTTCATTATCCCAGGAAAGAGAAGTGAGATGATTAAGACTACCTTTCTTCTGATCTGTTTTTTTTATAATTTTGTTTTTAATACAGTTTGCTCTCTTCGGAAGTATTACTAAAAGGATAGTTTTGGCATTTCAGACGTGTGAGGCTTTCTCGTGACTAGTTCACTGTCGGCAGTTTCGGCTCCGAGAACTTCCGTAACGTGCGCCGTAGTGAGGTTACAGTGAGGTTACTGATCTGAAAGTTGAGATTACTCCATCGAAAGTGAATGCCAGTGTTGCAATATGAAAAGTGATTTCATTTCTTTTCGTTTCTCTGTGTTTCAAATTCTTTTCAGCTTTGATACATGTGAAATGCACGTTTGAAGTTATTATCGTGTGTCGCCACCGATATCATTGTAATGTGAGCTAAAATATATATTACTGAAACTAGTATTGTCAATTTACGTCTTCTATTCTAAGTATATAGTAACATTCGGACTTATGGCCTTTCATATGGAACGCTATTCTTCTCTCGGAGAAACGTATACAAAAACATAGGGCAGAATGTTGAAGTATACTGCTTATTAGAAATAGAATATTCGTTATGTATCAAAAGTTAGACAATAAAAATGTCTACAGATTTTAGCTGCTACTTAGATTTTAGAGCCTTCAGTTTTTTTTCATATTTACACGATCGAGATTAAAGGTGTTTGAAATTGAAATGTTTATTTCTATTTAATTGGGTTTGAAAGAGAAACCAGATGACAGATTTTAAAGAATGAATTTATCGTGTTAGTTCCTACTTTGTTTCAAAGAAATTAATGGCTGACTTTAAATGATCGCACACATTATTAGACTGGTTTGGAAAGATCAAGCTTTGATAAATCACATAATTGTAATTTAGAGTACTAACGTCTTCAAGGAAAAATAATTGGACCAGGCTGAAAGCAGCTTCATGAAGAAACTTCATGTAGAATCCTCCCAAACAGTTCCTGTCCCTGTTTTTCATATTTCTTCTGTTCCACTTCTCCTAAGTATTTCATGCTAGACCCTTCACTAGAACTCGGTTCTGAAGTGCCAAACCTCGATTCCTGGCGCTTACTACATGTAGAGAATTAACTCATCCGTCTGCGATTCGTCACTACCATTTGCTCGTGAAAAAAGCGAATCGTATACCGTAGATTTTTTATGCCTTAAAGAATTTTGTCATACATCTTGTACAAAAGCCGTCCACGTATTTCTTCACTAGAGACTTTCCGTCTTTTCATCTTCGAATAAATGAGAAATTTGATCATGGCCATATGATTACGGAACTATCTGCAACGTTTACCATTATAGGGGACTCACGCGTAATATAACATCCAAGACAAATCAGGGCACTGTTTGTAACGACAGATGTAAAAATGAAGGATTTATTTATCAAGTTGAGAAACTGTCGCTTATCAGAGTTACTGATTATAATGAATCGTGAATTATTATACAACTGTGTGAAATAAATAAGTTTCCAGCGTTTAGTTTTGCCATGTCTGTCCTAACACACAATAATGGACAATTGAAGAGGAAAGTGTTAAAATTTCTTATTTTCTCCCCGTTCTCTCCTCCTCTTTCTTTTCTTCTTTTCCTTTTTGCTATTAAATAGTCCTGGGTGGTTACTACCTACTTAATTCCCTACTTTAATTTCTCAGTTTTGTGACGTATTTTTAAAATTGCAAGTACATAATTTTATACAGTTATTTTAATATTCCTGCCCGGTCTTTTGGCTTCCGCCGCAGGGTGCCGCGCGGTGTCGTGCATCCAGCGTGATGCCAAACGGGCCCGGAGCCGCCGCTGCCGCCTGCTGGCTGCAGTACCTCGACCTGAACGGGACTGCCAGGCCGTGGAGGACGGCGCGCCTCCGCGTTCATCGTCGCAACTGCCCGCACCTGTCTACCTCTACCTCCGCCGCTGCGTGCGAATCACCGGTAAGCAACGCAAACTAAGTACACGGACGAGGATAACAAGTTGAAACTGAATTCAAACACCAAATGTGTGAAATTGTGTAAATTATTTTGCTACTACAAAAATAAAATATTGATTGTAATATTTTAATCTATTCTGTAACAAAGTATTATTAATATAATCACAGTCCAATGACCCCCCATTCCATAGGTTTTTAGGAAGCTCCTTTGAGCATTTGCTGGAGATGTCCCTTGTGCTTCGACCAGTAATAAACTCATTTTCTCTGCTCGGAGAAGATGTGTGCAATGTACTCCCGTCCACATAGATCATATTTGCACTTGTCATATATGATTTTAAAAATTGATATTGTTAGCCAATTATTATTATTATTATTATTATTATTATTATTATATTATTATTTATTATTATATTATTATAATCATTCATCATCATCACCACCAACCAATGAATAATAAGATCATGTACATTACTTACAACCATTGCCAGATGACATTAAACAATTGAAGTCGGTACACAAATTTAAGTTAATAGTAAAATCTTTTCTGCTGCATAACTGTTTCTATACAATTAGAGACTCAACTGATCAACAAAAAGAAAAATAATCTTTATTTTAACAAAACAGTGATATATAATGAATTAGTTTACATTTGTTTTGTTTTAATTTTTTTAAAAGACTCAATGTGCTTCTAACAAATTATGTACTTTAGCTTCCGGGTCAATGACCCCATCATAATCAGATTTTTGTCCAGTTTCCTTGATCCATTGAGCAAATGCTAAGATGGTCCCTAGTTTTGTTTTTGGATGTTAATGTAGCTTCACTATGCGCATGTTTTGTTGAACACTCCTTTTGCTTGTAGTTGTAGGAGTAGAGGTAAAGGTGAGTTACTATTTTGTTAGCAATGCAGAAAATAAAATCTGCAGTTTGTTTACCATTTCAAATCGGTTTTCTATAACTCGGGAACAAAAATGTCTAGTTTTTCAAATGTCGCTTATCTTGCACTTTTTTTTAATTTTATTTTTATTTATTTGTTGGGAAGTGATTCTGGAACTCAAGAAAACATGCACAGATTATCTTTTTTCCCATACATCATACAGTTTTTACTGTTTTTGACTCAATAAATCTAAATCTAAATAAATTAATCAATTTATTGAAGATGTGAATATCATTGGTTATTTCCTTGCTCATTTTCATTGAAGACCTAAAGGCGGAAACACAATAATCCACAGTAAACCTCCCACTATTCGTAAATGTTAATATATTGATTGTGATCAAAGTGGCTTATAATCTTACTATATGAGGTAGATTCCATAAGTTTCTGGACTCGCTAACTTCTATTTTTGATATAAAGACAAAAATTACGTAGTTTTTGAAGTGAATCATCCTTTATTCCAATCCACTATTAACATCTGTATATTAACAATTCCAGGCCTTTGAAAAAATACTCTGAAGTTTTGTTCGCAAAATAGATAAAATCTTCTTTCACCTCAAACTCATCTGAAACTTTTCTTCTCTGAAGGTTTTTCTCCAGTTTTGTTAAGAGGTAGATGTCACTAGAACATTCTGGACTGAAGTTTAGATGGTCCAACACAATAAAGTCATCATACTCCTTCACAACATTTTTTTCAATCTGAGAGCTCAGGTGTATTGTCTTGAAGCTAAACTCCGTGAGATTTCATCCAACTCAAGTATCTCTCCACAAAACTGATTGAAATGTCATCTGCCAACATATAGCATTAAAACAATTAAAGAGAAGACTATATACTGCTCATAAGGTTTTCCTATTAATCTTAAAATTTTCGTAAGGTTAGAAACTTATGGAACCACCTATGTATCTGTCTAGTTGATATTTATGAAGAGATTGGGGCACTAGCAACTAGCAAGAAGAGACTATCTCCAAAATTGAGAAATTAACGTTTAAAAATAGTAGGAGGCGTGCTGTGGTTGGTGTCGCTTATCTTATTACTGACCTATGCCCTTCAGTTCCATTCTCCAGTGAATTTAAAAAAAAATCTTGCTAAAAATGTTATTTTACTAGTAATACAGTACACATATAGCATAATGGGTCAATTTATTTAAGTCTCCATGTCTATGATCTTACGAAAAAAATGAAACATTGAAAATACTTATAGTTTTTATATATTTTGTTTCAAATTTGTTAATTTGTTTATATGTTGGTAATTTCCAAAATAGTGTGCAGCATTTGAGAGTAAAAGTATTTTATTTGCTCATGAAAAAAAGCTCCTCAAGTTCCCGTAGTCATGTTGTACTCTCAACTTTCTCACTTTTGAATACATTATTGTATTTTACTCTTGTGCAACTAATTACTATAATTTATTAATTATTTTGTGTCATCTTCATGCCCTAGAGATCCACTGAGAAATACTATTTTGTGATGAAATAAGTGATGGGATTCAATAAGGACCTAGAGAAAACAAAAGTTTAGTCTTGAGACTATATTTTAAGAATCATAAGCTCTGAAGAAAACAATCCACATTTTTGAATGAATGGGTACACAAAACCCAATAAATAAAAAACAATTAAAATTTCTTTTAATTACACATTTTTAGTTAGCAATTAGTGTTTTTTTTATAGTTTAACTTTATGAATTAGTGTCATTTTTATAAGGAGACAGAAAGACAGTCTTTTACAAACTAAGAAGTTTTCAAATTATTATATTTAACTAACATGATCAAGTTTTCATTGATTGTAATGATAAATGTCTAATTTGTGTAAAAAATTGTAAAAATTATTTTGTTTCAAATAAAATTAACAAGACTTATATCATTACAATAATTTCATCTAATATAATAATAATTATAATTTATTCAAAAGGAAATGTTTTAGTTTATTAGAAGAAATGCTTAAGTTCTTGGAGTGGGGTTTTGGGAAACTATTGGAAGTAAAATGAAATATGTTTGATACTAATGTTTTATTTATTGATTTTGATTTTAGATGCTGGAATAAAATATGTCCCCAGTTTCTGTTCCATGTTAAGAGAACTTAGTGTATCAGACTGCAATCAGGTTACTGATTTTGGTCTGTATGAACTTGCAAAACTGGGGGCTACTCTACGATACCTGTCTGTTGCAAAATGTGATCAAGTATCTGATGCTGGTCTTAAGGTAAATACGAATTAAGGTTGTTTTTGTTATATTTAGCATCTTTGCAACACATTTGTAAGCCCTTCTTGGGCATCAAGCACAAGGAATAGTCTTCCTTGAAGTGCATACTAGTTCTGTAATATTATTGTAATTCTTTATTATTTCTATTTCTGGTTTATTGTCCTATATTTTGCATGACTTACACTATGTATATTATTTTAACTTTCAATTTAATTGAATGAGAAAAATAATGATGATGACCCCCTACACCTTATTCAAAAGATTAATGTACCAACAAATTCTGCAGTTTTAGTGATTTAAAATTTATAATTCCAAAAGATTTAGCCAAAAGACAATCTTCAAATAATTTTCCTAACATAAAATTCTATTAATAATGTGGATGTTAAAGGATTGAATTTAGAGGCATTGCTAAAAACAAAACAAAAGTCTTGTTTTGATATTGTTTAATTCTTCACACCAGTGTGTGAAGGAGGACAATATTTAGTAGATAGATGTGAACTAGTACATAGGCAAATACAGAATAAACTGTGATGCACATGTGTTGGAACTCTTCTCTTTCCAGAAAAATTTGGAAAAATAATTACATCTTTCCCCCATTTGAACTTGAATGTGAAAAGTACTTTTCTATGTTAATGTATTGTTAAAAATATAAACTGTATCACTAATAAGAAAGAAATGATTTTATAGTATTATTTCCTTATTTGAGTTTCATTGTACAGTAATTTAAATATATTAAAGTGGATGTTTCTGTTGCAGCAGCCAACTTGTATAATATTTGTAATTTAGGCAAACTTTCTTAATATAATACAGAATCTTCCCTACAACTAATCCACCTTGGATGAATAAAACTGCCTTGTAGGCAATATTTGTGGGAAGTAGTTTTTGAAAAATAAATATATTCATTATTAAATTATTTTCAAACTTTTCTCCGTAATAATATTTAGAGGTAATGAATATAAAATATTCTGTGATAATGTACTGAAGAGACTTTTCAATTACAGGTGATTGCCAGACGCTGTTACAAGTTGCGATACCTGAATGCAAGAGGCTGTGAGGCAGTTAGTGATGATGCTATCACAATGTTAGCTCGCTCATGTCCTAGATTGCGAGCTTTGGACATAGGGAAATGTGATGTGAGTGATGCTGGATTACGTGCCTTGGCAGAGAGTTGTCCAAATCTAAAGAAACTCAGTCTTCGCAGTTGTGATTTGGTCACTGACAGAGGGGTGCAGTGCATTGCCTACTATTGTCGAGGACTTCAACAATTGAATATACAAGACTGTCAGATATCACTTGAAGGTTACAGAGCTGTAAAAAAGTATTGTAAACGTTGTATAATAGAGCATACCAATCCTGGTTTCTTCTGATTTAGGTTATTATTGTTAAAAAAAAACTAGTATTCTTATATAAGTGCATTTGGCTTGAAAACAAGTTTAATAATAGAAATTACATTTATTGAAAATCTTCTATGACTTGAATCTGGTAGCAAGCAATGTATTGAACTGAAAGATGGACCCAGGAAATTGTTTTAGAGCAGAGAAAGCTGCACATCAGTGGAGGAAGATACAGAGCTAGGTATGAAGAATGGGCAAATTGAGATCTGATGTGAAACAATTTAAATACATCCATGTAATGCAGTGATCTATTAAGCAGAAAGATAAAGCTGGAAATTTTACTTGCTACTGCAGATGCTTAGACCAGTGATTACCTTGAGGAGAAGAGTTATTGCCGTAACTGCCCCTCCGTGTGGCTCTACTCCTTATTTTACTACTGGAGTGCATCTATTGCTTTTGCCATATTTTGAGAGTGTCAAAGCTTACTTATTGAGATAATTTTCAATTCATGTGTTCACATAAGTTCAATTACCATTGCTTGGCAAACTGAAACTGAAGCTCAGAGTGACTAGTGTGATTTCAATTAATTGTGTACCAAGTCAAAAAAACATTTTTAATATTATGGAATTAAAATGATCCTCAATCCCATAGTATTAAAACATTTTTGGTGCTTACTTTTCCAAAATCTTGAAAATAGTAATTTATTGTTGTATTGTTCATAAACAAAGTCAATGTGTTTTGTTTATGCCAAGTGTTTCTAAATATCTTACTTGTCATAATAAAAAGAGTTGGTGAGATTTCATTGCTCACACTTTTCATCAATTTACATTGTGTAGGTATTTTACCAAAAAGGATTATCATTTTGCTACGGAGTAAAATAAGATATGATTACCTTTCATTTACTTCAAAATAATATTTTCTCCTTCTACTGTCAGCGCTTAGAATAAAAAAAACAAGCAGTTATGGTATAAATAAATTCCTTTAAATGAAGACTGATGTAATAAACGTTTGAAGCATAGTTCAGCCATAGCACTTCTTGTGAATAATATATATCATAACTTTAAAATGCAAAACCAAAATGATTGGGAATACAGTGCCACTTCATTCAATAGTAATTTTATAAAACACATAGTAAACATATATGTAAGTGACACAAAAGTTAATATGAAAGTAAAAGGAAGCATGAAGCTAGACTTATAGTAATAGTGTATGGCACATGAGAATAAATTTGAATTTTTTGGGGAGGGAAAAAAACGTATTATGTCTAATTCTCATTCATAATTTTAATCATTTATCAGCAGGAAAATAAGACAAGAAACTATAAATGAAATATCTTAATACTGTGTATTTTTGGCCAAATTGTTTTAATAAGTGTTATCAAGGAGGTTACAAATTCATAGATTGCAATTTGCATAAATGACATAGAAGTGAATGAAACTTTTTTATTTATTATGTTTGTGTTTCAGAAACAATAAAATAAATAGTAGTTTACGTGATGGTCATTGCTCGAAGTAACTGCTAAGTAACTGTGAAGTAATTGCTAGAACAAGTAAGCTTTTAAGTAAAACATGTCAAAGTATTGAACTGAGGTCTTGTTTTTCAAATTACTTGTACAGTTTTTAATTTTATTCATAAAGCCAATTCATTACATTAATAAAGGGTGCTAAAATATGGTATTGCTATTGAGAAATATTTCACAATTTCTCCTGATTAGATTAAAATTATTGTGCTCATTTCTGAAGAGAATGTTCAAAATATTACATTTACTTTCTAATGTTCATATTTTTGAAAATTTTATTATAAAAACTTTATTTTGTTGATCCTTTTATAACAATAAACATATTAGTAAAGTAAAATGATTTATCAATGTTATTATTGTACAGAATTGGGATTTTTTAATGTTGCATTTCATTTGGATTCTTTATTTAAAAACCAGAATGTTTTGCTATGATGTATTCTCTCTTAGGGTTGTGCAACAGTAAATCTTAAATTCTCATAATGGACAGAGATGATTGTGATTAAGAAAAACTAAATTTTGTAATTCAGAAAATAACTTTTTAAAAACATTCCTTGTGTTTAAAAAATGTATAGGACAAGTCCTTTAATACAAAATGTTACTCTTCTCTTTCATAATTAAACTGTTTAAAATATTCTCTGTGCTTAACAATTATTATTTGTTAACTATAATGTCAAAGCTTTTACTTGTTTTCATAATAGAATTCCTGTAATATGTTATTTATAACTAATTTACAGAATATGTATTTATAAACAAATTGTATTTCTGCAATGCTGGAGTAGAAAATACTACGAAGCATTTCAAAAATATGAATATTTATTTACTTAAGCTTATTTTCTACAACTTTTTTAATTTATTTTCTTTGAATTTAATGAAAATTGTAATCTTTTATACTTGTACTCATTCTCTTCTGAATTAGCACTTTTCTAGGAGACAGTGAAACAAGAGGAAATAGTCAAATTGAATTGATTAATGTATAAAATTTGTTCCTCTTCTCTTTGGGCAACTAAACTTAAAAAAGTGGTTTCATTATATTTTTTTGCTGTTCTATCATACCTCTTTTAGAAAGTAAATAGAAAATAATATAAAATTTATGGACCCGGACCACCCAATAATCAAGATAAGATTAATGTGTCAAATTTTTACAAGATTATGTATATGTTGTATAGTACAATATGTATTATATGTAAATACCCTTTCAAATTAATATCAATATGTATAAACATGTTTATTGTACATGCTTTTGTTACGAAAATAAAATTATTTTGAATATTTAAATTAATCAAGAAAATAATTATATAATGCATTTTCATTCTTCTAAACATGTCATTTCATTTTCTTGTTTCCTCTAGTTTTTGAATGTTATCTTGTATCTTTCTTTGCAGCTGATTAAGATAACTGTCACTTTTACACAATCATTGCTCAGAATCAAAGGTTTCTGGTAGAAGTCTAGATGGAGAAGTTATTTCATAATGCGAGTGAAAAACTAATTATAAAATGTATACATAAGCATGCATATGGGGGAGGCCAGGGGAACTCCAAGAAAATTTTGAAAGATGTGTCTTGGCCTTATGTTATAAAATATTTTACTTTTGTAAATATGTTTGATAAAATGACAAATAGATAAATATGACAAAATTATGACCAAATTGCATTTAGATTGTATGGATTCATTTTACTATTTACAGTGATGACAAATAGATGAACAAATTAGCCAAACACCTTGTGGGAATCACAAGAAGAGAAAGACTAAGAAATAGACATCAGAAAGAAACTGAGAACCAAAAGTTTACTATAAGAGATAGAACAGTCTCAAAAGCAGATGGAGAGATCATGTACAAAGAATGAACAACAAAAGATTTTCAAAATTAATCTGGAAATACAAACCAATAGAGATCAGAGATAGATTGAGACCACTAAAGAGTCACCCCCTGTTGAGCTGTAGTCTAATAGTCGTTGCTATTTTTCAATAATTATAGTTAATTTTAATGTTTATTTTAGACTTTCATCTTTTACAAAAATTATAATCTAAGCCAAAAATAAAAAAAATAATTGATCATTTTTAAAGTACTTATATTTTTTGATTATTTAAATTTTACTTTTTGAATGGAATTACTTAAAAATACATTTCAACAACAATAATCTGGAAGTTAGAGTCAACTAGTTAATTTCAGTTCTCGAAAAGTTATGGATTAGGTGTTTTTTAGGAACATTTTTAGGATTAGGTGTGTTTTGAGAACATCTCATTTTACAAACTTTAAAAAATCATATTTAATGTATTACATAAAAAATGTGGAATGATATTTGTAAAAAATCTTAAATTTTCCAAACATAATGAAAAAATTGAAAAGTGGTGAATGTAGACTTGATCCCCCAAAGAAACTCTTGAAAATACCAAAATCTTTCCAAAAATATGTAAAAATGTTGAAAAATTTATGAAACTAACACGGTTAAAAAAGCACCTATTTGTAGTCGATCCTTTGCCCAGAAACCCAAAAATGCATTTCAGAAATCCACAATTGATTGAAAATTGTTGCACAAGCAAAATATCATGTATAAATAAAAACGTTTATTGGAAAAGAGTGCTCAGAAATGTAGTTGATCTCCTCTTGTTTTAGTTTGCTCATGCTTCTGAATGTACCCTCTGACACAAGTTAATAACATTATACAAGATCACTTGTTTGTTTGGCTTTATCATTAATATAGGTATTGTGGTGAGTTTTCGTTAGCATTTCCAATGAAATAATTATATGTGCCGTCATTGCCAACAGAATTATTTATATCAGTTTTCTGCTGTATGGAAGCCACAAAAACAGCTACGTAGTCATTTTTGTAGCTTCCATTCAGCAGAAAATTGATGATGATGGCTAAGCTTTCAAAAGCTGTTTTTTTATTAAATAATATTGTTGGCAATGACAATGCATATAATTATTTCATCATTAATATCTTTTGAAGCATAGTATGTACAGGAGCAGATTAACAATTATGTTAATCCCCCCTGTATCCATCACTGTCTACACATTTTTTTGTGTTATCATTTTGCAAAAACTTGGGGAGTAAGATATTTTATCAGCAGTACCTGCAAATCAAATCTGTAACTCATTTGCCAATGCAAATCATTTCTACTGAACAGGGTGGAAGTTTTTATAAAAATTAAGGCATGTCAATTCTTTTTTTCATGACAAAATGTATAGCAATCCACATTGCTTCCGGAAGTCAATATTCTATTTATGTCACATTAAAAAGTGCACTATGTATAATATGATAGAGGAAGAGGAGATACTAAGTTAGTACCAAGAGGCAAAGCAAGGAATCGTCTGAACATTAAGACAATGGATTAAGGGAAAATGGGCAAAAATCCTCAAGTTGAGGGTCACACACCTAGATATAGTTTAGAATATTGTTTCAGGCACAATAAGTAGGCCTACACACTGCAAAAGAAAATGTAAGAATTGCAGATTTACAAATGTGTCAATGATATTGAAATGAAATTAATCTATTTCCATACTTGATACCCAAGTTTCTGTGACAGATTCAGGGGACAGAGGAGACCCTTCTCCAGTCTTTATCAACAAGCATCCCAACAAGATCTGTTATATATGATGTACGCTAGGAGTGGAGAAATACTGGATGAATATCAGATGAGCCCAATAATTTAATAAGAAAATGTAGAATAATTTAACCATCTAAACAAATTTCTGAATAGTAACAAGTAATGAAAACTCATTTTCTTTTGTTAGTTAATACTAACAATAAATGTAGAAGGATTTGGAATTAGGCCTACCTGAAGAAAATATTTGTCTGTAAATACATGATTGTCAAACTAGTAACTATTAAAAAAAATATTTGAAAGAAGTGGTTAGAATATAGTTTTCAACACAATTATTATACTTTTACATTACCACAACATTTTCTATGAGTGTGCTCTCGTCATTCTGATTTCAAATTTCCGCGTAGAAATTCTTTGGCAACAAACATTTCAACTCTGACAATTATCAATTGCGCAAAAGGAGTTCTGTTCTTCATTAACCTTAAAGTTACCCAGAACTCTAAATATTATTTTTAAACAGCTATTTATACTATTGAATGTGGGATTGCAAACCAAATATTTGGGACTGCAAACCACTGCAAACCAAGGCTAATAGTTTTTGAATGTTTTACGATTTTTGGCAGACAGTTGGTAGACTTAAATAACATTGTGAACTTTTGACTAAAAATATGACTATCGGGGAGCGCCATGAGTGCGCGCGGAGCCAAAGACTGGAGCTTACGACTGGCAGGTGCGGAGCGGGAACTTCAGCTGAAATTGGGATAAATCGTCCTTTCGATGGTCTGTTAAAAGCGATGTCAAGTCCAAGTGTGAAATAAAAAAAACTCTATGTATTGTTTTCAGTACATTTAGAGATTATTGTAAAAGGGACATTTGTTTGTTTGTGAATAAGACTTTTAAGAAATTAGTGGTAGTAAGAATGGTGTAATTGGTATTATTAGACCAAGGGTGGATAAACATTCTCATAACTGGCTAGCACAAGTAGAAAAAAAGATATCTTAACTATTTCAGCGAATTTACTGCTCACCAACAATGTACAAAAGTAGAGAATTGCTTCTCAAAGCCATGGAAAATAACCTTGGTCTTGTGGAACCAATTTGTAAAAGTAGCTTTGGTATGTATGTTAAATGAGTGACAATAAGTTATTAAAGGTTTTGGTTCTGATTTTTGTGGTACATTTTAATAGTATAATTGTTTGGACGTATTATAATGTTCACCTTATTTTTTTTGCGAAAAGATGAAGCTGAGAGAAATGAAAAGCTAGATAACCTGCGAGAATCGATGAAAACTTTTTGCCAAATTGATTTCAATTTCAATAAATATGTAAAGTGTGAGAATGAGTTAGAGAAAAGGAGAACTCCAGAAGATTTTGAAACCAACAAGGTATATTGCATAATACATTTAGAAATTAATTGGTTTTGAAATAATACTAATTTTTTTCATATACTTTTCAGTCGTTTAATGAATTGCTGGAGGAATATTCAAAGAAAAAGGTGAATGTGGAACATCATGAGATGTATTTAAAACTTGAAGAGAAGATTCGTAAGTAATATGATTTTCTTGCTAATGTAATAAATTGTTCCAAAATGCAAGGAAGTAATGTTTGCTGAATACAGTTCAATTTGTACATTTGAATGTTCATGGCCTTATCTTTGTAGTTAGTAGTGGGTGGGATTTTTTTTTTAATGTCTTTTTAGCATTAATATTCATGGGTGTAAATATTATTTTATGATCATTTGAGACAGTTTTGGCCCTTTAATAATATTCTTGCTTATATTGTTGAAGTGGTGATTTGATATTTAGAAAAAAATCCTAAGATATAAAGGACAAGAACAAAAATAAACAATAGTCAGTAGAAGCTCTATTAGAGAAACTGAAAAAAAAAATACCTCACTCATTCCTTTTAGGAGCATAATAGACTTGTACTTCTTAGACTTATGCTCCAATTAAGATTGTTCTCAATAATATATACAATCACCAGATTTAAAGTCATTCAGTATTTTTCTTAAAGCTCAAGTTCAGGTTTACAAAATGTAGCTTTCATGTTTTATTTTGCTATATCACAGATATTGAATTTCCATCAAGAGTATTTGTATTTAAAAATTTAAAACAACTTGTTATTTCAAGATTACTTTATTGTTTCAAACATTATTGCTTGTTATTTAATAATCAGGACTACTACGAGGTGAACTAGAAGATGGTGTAGAAGTTAGTAGGGCTACTCCCAACACCATTTGCCCTGTAAGCAAGCAAATTATGTCTAATCCAATGACAAATAAATTGTGTGGTCATATTTATGACTATTCTAGTGTCATTGAATTGCTGAAATTGAGCAAGAAAGGAATACGGTAAGTAAAATTTGATTTCTGAAGTTTTATTCTTTAGGATATCATTGAGTACCCTACTTATTTTTAATAAAAATACAAAAACTATGCCATAATTTGTATGTTTTCAATTTTTCTTATTACAATCGATTTTCCAAGATGTCCAGTACCTGGCTGCGTGAAAGCACCTAGGTTTTCTGCTAAGGACCTGGAACCCAATAATGCAGTGAAAAAATACATTTCTCAGATGGAAAAGGAGAAGAATTAATTCACATTCATTGTAGCAAAATGGTTGTCTGGGATTTATAAGTGCTTTTCCATTTTTTATTTGTTTCATTTGAATATAAACATGTACAGTTGACTAGACATTAATAGATGATATTTAATGTAGTCTCTTTTTGTAATAAATGTAAAAAATATTTGTATATTTGATAATAAAATAATACTAAATTAAATATAATATATTTAATTTATAATATTATGTATTTTAAATATAATTCTCAGAGTTTGATGAGTGAATTTTTAAATTTAAAACAAAATCTAGTGTTTGAGTTAATGGTTTTTTGTTTCGATTATATGATTGTCTTTTAAGGATACAAACTTGTGATTTTTTGCCGTTATTGCACCGTTCAGGAGATAAACACATCAGATCCCCTATCCTGATTTCATTCAAATTTAGCATTACTTTAATACTGTGATATTAAATTGTGATATTTTCTCACATCTATAATACTAAGTCAACATTCTACTCGTGAATTTTCCCTGATCTAAATGGAAAGTTGGACTACCTAATCTCATAATATGCTTATGTGAATTCATATGTTGTGGAAATTGTCTGTTTCCAAATAACATTTTCAATTACCACATAGTTTTGCTTTGATCTTACTGAGTCATTTTTTCAACAGCTCTCAAATCCCTAAAAGATTATCGTGAGATCAATTACTTGATAACACTGATGTTTGTAAGAGTAAATCAATATTATTGATCCATTGATTACTTTTTCTTACAATTTGTTAAGGTAGGGTTTTTCTTCAAGAAATTCAGTTTTTTGTTAAACCCGTTAATTTTTTTTACTACAATACAATGAGTGAGATTACAAATGTGTTTTTTATTGTAATTATAATAATAATAATAATAATAATAATAATAATAATAATGATATAAGAATAATTAATATTTATTGAGTCACAAATACAATTACAATCATGTATGACAAGTCAATATGATGCCTTGGGTGGAGAGAGCGAAGTTATATTACTGTTCAGGAGCAAACAAGGGGCTATCTCAGCATTTGCTCAAAGGACCAGGGAAACTGAAACAAAACCTGATCGAGATGGGGTCATTGGCCTAGAAATACAATACTTGTTACAGTTAGATTAAGATTATAATACAGTAGATAAATTATCTACTAATATTAGCATTTCAATATGTTTTTTAATGCTACTACTTATAATAATTACATTTATAATACATATCAATTATGTTTGCAACTACATCAAATTTAACAATAGTAGTACATGCTATATTTATAACTTGAAATGGTGAAGAGGCAAGTTTTGACCAGTTTTTTCCTGCTTCTATTCTCCTTCTATTTCACAGGATGTGATATGCAGCTCTTTTTTCTCTGCTTCAGCTTGAAACAGAAAGTCTAATGGGATAAGAAATTATTATTTATTTATATTTTTTAAGGGAAATGTTGTAATTTGAAAATTCCTCTACACTGTAGAACATGTTGTTAAGTAGGAAAGCTTTCAATTTACTTTTAAATGTATGAATTGTGGTTTATGTCTTTGATATCATTGCCTAGTTTGTTTGTAAGTGTAATGCCCTCTATTAGGGTACTTTTTTTGATAAAGTGTAGTTTCAGAGTGGGGAACGTTGCAGGTTATCTTTTGACGGGTGTTGTAGTTAAGTACATCGAATTTAAAAGTAAAAGTGTCTTTGTTTTCCATGAGAATTTTCTTTGTGAAGACCACTATTTCAATATTTACATGCATGGTAGGGAAGAATCCTTAGTTTATTAAACAAGGGTTTGCAAGACTCCCAGCTTATGAGTGCAGGTCATTGTTCGCAGTAATTTTTTTGGAAATAAATGTGCAAGTGCTTTCAGGGGCATTTCCCCAGAATATTATTCCATATTTTAGGTGTGAGTGCACATTTGCAAAATACGTTGTTCAAAGTGTCTTAATGTTGGAGATTGATTTACCACAAAAAATTTAAAAATAACAAAAAAGTTAGGAATGGTAGGATAACAGTTAAAAGTGAGTGAAATATCTGAAATTGAAATTGTGTTGGATATTATGGGTTCATCATTCGCAGAAATGTTAAAATTTTATAGATAATTTGCTGTTATAGAAAAGCCTTAAAAATATAATTAGGGAGTCAAATTGGAAAAGTATACACCCTTTTAAAGTGTGTGTATAAATATATTGTTTTGATATCTTATACGACGTAACTGGCTTAATAGACAATTTTTTCTTAAAATTAATGTGTATTTCTTTTTAGTCATGGTTTCACATTTAAATCATTTTTTGTTCTGCTAATCACATTACTTTTCTACTGGTAGCAAATCTCCATTTTTTGTCTAGACTGAAGCTTTAATTTGGGTTTACACATCACATTGAATTTTTGGAACCGAGAAATCTGCATTATGAATTCAGATCACATTTCTTAGCACACAAAAAAACAACAAGCGATGGGTGCATAGGTGAGTGCTGAGCACGAATTTGCAACATAATCAAAGCACTCGTGCCTAAGAGGGCGAAGTGATGATCCTGTAGCACAGTATAGGCTGATCATTAGGACCTACATCTCTGCCATGCGTGAGGCGTGAGGTGTGTCTTCATTCTGCCTGCAGCTGTCTGGGTTGTACACCACGCGAAGTACCTCACCAGTACCTCTGTGTAAGAGTAGAAACTGCTTAATCGTGTGAAGAAGCCAGTCACTCACTGACTAATGACAGTAATATTCTCTCATGCTTTATTGTTTTTTGATATTGGCTAATTTTAGATGCAAATATGTTAGTGCTTTTTCCCTCTAATTTTAAGTTTTTAGTGCCCTAACATCTGATGTCTAGTAATGAATAAAAATTATAATAGGGATGAAAGTTTATAGCCATGATTTCTATGATTTCTTAGAGCAAGATAAATGTAAAGAAAACAACAATAGCTCTGAAAACATCTTTTCAAAAATTTTAATTATTCAGGATTGCATAGAAAGTGCATCTCATTTTGTGATGTGGATAAACATTTTTATATTACTAATGACTAATATATGCATAAATTTACAGAAAGCTCAGAAGCATCTGACTGTGTGAAAGATGTCAATTCTCAGGAAGACTGAGAAAAATACAAAAATATGGAAAATATAAAATATTTTTAATTTTGACTGAAAATGCAAATATGTTTATCTGCTATTTCTCATTCCTGATGTTACAACCATATTGCCATACTTTAATTGTGTCACTGCTTATGATACAGTTAACACCATGTAACGAGGAATAAAGCCCGCTTTCACATTGCCATTTTAGAACAGCTAATTTTTGCTGCCTGAAGAGTCCATTTTCCACACATGTGACAGAAGCATGTTTGCTATTGCAGACTACTAGTCTTTAATATTAACAAAAGATTTATGAATCTAAAGTTGTTTCTTTGCTGGCATGTATGCCACAAGGGGGAGGCAGAGGATGCAGAAAAACTGCCTTTTGGGTAAATTGGGTAAATTTAATGGATTATAGTATCCTTTAGAAGGTAGATTTTCCGGGCTGGTAGGCCGTAGTCCAGTTGGCATTGTCAACCACGGCCTACCAGCCCGGAAAATCTACCTTCTATTGACTCCGGCCGTGAAAGCCTACGATACTCTATAGTATCCTTTGATTATAGATAGTCAAATATGTAATATGTTTATTGCATTATATTCAAAAATCAGCATTGAAATATCTTGATATTTAATTTTTTCAAGATGACATCATATGGTAAAGTAAATAAATTACATTCAATATTAGAATTTACAGTTTCATTTAGTTTTATATGTTTCTGTTATGACTGGCATATTGTCACAATGTACATGATGTACCGGAAGAAGCAAACACATCAGTCTGTGTTGTACCATGTAATGTAATAAACATATTATCGATTTGTGTGTTTCTTTGGACTTGAAGTTAAATGGCATTTTACACATCATTAAAAAAACGAACATGTCCAACATGAATGGTTTTTCATATCTTGCAGCAAAAAGACATTATAAAACGGAATTTCTGTAAATTTAATCCAGTTGGCAGAGAGACGTGAGATACTCTTAATAGAAGAAATGCATCTGTAAGTCCGTTTTAATTTCCCCGTCCCTCGTCAGTCGTCACAGTCACACAGTGAAGGAGAGAAGCTTGAGTTCTCAGCGTAGATTCAACCTGGGGGCATAAATCGTAGGAAAATCGCTAGCTTTCTGAGTTTGGGAATGGCTTTTATTCACGCTTCTTCCAACACAGCTTTGAGAATCGTATCCCCTCAGCCAGAGCTTTAAAGGTCAAGGCCATGAGACGGTATCAGAAAGACATAGTATTCTGGATTGTGATGCATTTTGTGGTGAAAGAGTTTGCGAGCAGTTCGGGTGCAGCCGTTTGGTAGTTAGGTGGTGTGTTTTTATGAGTTTCACATCCAGTTTACCACTGGTTGGAAAAAAAACATATTCTAAATATTACAGCTTTTCAATTTCAGAAAACATAATTGAAAAGATATGGGCAAGTGGGAAAACCAAAAAGCAAAATACTCTAGATGAATGTTGGAAAAAATAATATTATGTTAACACACAAGTTGTGAAGATTTTCCTTTTAATTGACAGAAATATTTTTAATATTAATTTATTAGTGATTTCTTCCACAAATACGTTGTATGTTAATATATTTTTACAATTATAATAAAGTCATATTAATTTCTAATTTCACGATGGAAATATCAATACAACAAAAGTCATAAAATGGGCAACCCTGCATAAGTCATAAACCCTTCTAAACCAGAATAATTGTTTGTCCCAATCGATTCAGGCTTCATCAGTTTTTACTGTAAAACATGTTAAATTTAGACTACTTACTTAATTTAGAATACTTGTCTTTTTTAGCTGTCATTTCAGTTACCTGTTTGCTCTTAGAAAAATCCAGATGTTAACAATCCAAGGAAATCTTTGCACTGCAAATTTTGATTGCATTACTCCTTATGCTACTTTCCATAATGTGAGTAGCTGACCTCACCAGTTCAAATATAGTGTTGTAATATTAAAAAATAGTATTAATCTGAATGCATTTTTGAATTTATGAAGTTAGTTTTTCTGAAATATATGTACCAAGTTTTAGTTTTTCCGAAATTTAAGTACTAAGTTTTGAAATTAAGTGCACAAATTTTCCTAAAACAATCATGTTACTAAAATGTCATAATGACTTAAGGACATAAAAGTATTGAAAAGCAACTT